TTTATCCCTTTTCCAAATGTCAGAAGAGAATACATTCTATTCTCCAAAATTCTGTGTCTCTTCTCCTTTAAGGCACAACAAAAGGTTGCCTCTTTTAGGATGTCTCTCTCCATAGGCAATCAGCTTTAAGGCAGATCTTTGTGGCTCTGAATTCATTTAAAATAGAGTTACATCTAAGTTACATTTTTGCATTTGTTTTACAATTACAAATAAGCATGGTAAATTAAGAAAAATAATGTTACCATCTTGAAAATTGCCTTTGGAAGATTGAGTTCATGAAGGTTTACCTTAAAGGTGGTATTGCCAAGGATCTTGTTATTGAGCATATTTAAACATGCACATTTGTGTATCAACTTAAAGATGCTTATAAAATATTTTATTTGCTGATGTGAGCCTTACTTATATATGATTCTTGTCTTTCATATATTTGACAAAAATCTCACTGTTCTTTTATTTTTTGTGTTTCTTAGAGTAGGCAAAATTTGCCCCCCAGAGTTGTTTATTTTCTGTCATAATAACTATAATGAATAGCTTTATGTGTCAGCTTCATGACAATGTGAGAATTTTTCTCATTTTTTAAAAGTAAACTCACAATAGTTTGTCATGTGTTTTAAACCTCAGTTTCTTATCCAAAAAGTTGCTTGAGATATATTTTAGAAGACTTTCTACAACCCCAAGTCCTGACCCTAGGGTGGTGGTATAAAAGGTGAAAGGACCTGACTCTGAGCACCTAGATATATTGTTAAGTGAATATAAAGCATCTTGAATTTTCTGAGTTTCTCTCTTTTATAATGAGTTAGTTACTGTCCTGACAGAATTGTTCATAAATGCTAATTCTTTTATAGATAAAACATTTTAAGATTAAAAATTACACAGAATAATCAATAATTTGTAACACTGCACTGAGTTGAAAGGTGAAAGCATCTATAATGCAACCTCAAGCTCAGGTGGGAATTTTTGGACAGTCGCTAGTGGAGAAGTACTATAAGGCATGAGTGGGGGCTACAGCAGAGATAGGTGAGGCAAAATTTTTATTGTTAAATACATCCTGGGCTGCAGTGACACTGGCTTTGGACAGGTTGCTTAATTTTTTTCTTCCAAATCTATTGCAAATGGAGAGTTTTGAGTGCTCTTAGGAGATGGTTATTTCATTGGGAGTCAATTTCATGGCGGAAAAGCTATGTAACTCGAGTCCATCAAGAGTCGGTTGTTTCTCTCTAAAGTGGTGTGAATTTATTTTGGGTCAGTACAAGTGAATGTCAAGGACTCTTTCACAGGTGAAAGTGAGCTCTGCTGCGGGCATCGTCTATGAAAGCCAGATATCATGGTAAGAATAAGGCAGTTCCTTGAACCTTCATGGGCAGTCCTCACGTCCCACTCTTGAAAACTCAAAGGCTATTTTCAAGCTTTTTTGGTGATAATATTGGACCTAACCTGATATGGAAGTATTTATAGTTTTGACTATTTTTACTTATAAATACATGTACCTATAACTGGAAATAGTGTTTGGTTGCAGGTGTTGTCCCAGACCTGACAAGGAGTATTCCATATGTCTACCACATGACTGTGAAAGTCAGAACATTTTTGAATTCCCAAACATCTCTGGCTCTAAGGGTTTCAGAAAAGTTATTTGGTTCTATTCTATTATAACTGTAATACCATTGTTAAGTAATGCCATTCTTTCATCAAACAAATATTTACTGTGTGTCTAAATATTTACTGTTGTGTTAGATTCTGTATATACAATAGCAAGGAAGATACAGATAGTTCCTACTATTGAGTTGGGAAGAGCTATATAATCATATGTATAGCTGTATAATTATAGATCTATCTATTATATATAATTATGTCATATATTGACATATATCTATAAGTTATACTTTACCTACAATTATCTATAATATATATTAATATTAAATATGATAATTACACATAGATATTATAGAGAATCACCTATACAGTTATATAACTACAAATTTTGTTAAATGGTATGAAAGAAAAGAACAGAGTTCTGAAAAAAATAGGAAAGCGTTTCATTTAGATCGATGAATCAGAGAAATATTGGAATGAACACCTGAAGTGTTGCTAGGAGTAGGTGTAGTCATAACACCTTGTTAGACTCCAGAGGAAGTTCAACAAGAACTTCCTTGGTTAATGTATTGAATCACTTGTCAACCATTGTTCCACCCTCATACACACACACGGCATCTGACCACAGGTACCATTGGATATTTGGGATATCCTTGAAATACAAAGGAAAGTGCAGCTGTTTCTGTGCTGCTCCTTTTGGTACTTTCCATTTGCTGCTTTGTTTGCTCTCAGAAGAGTTCACAGAGTCACTTCTCCCTTGGTCTCCTTCCATATCATTCTTACTTTCCTTTATTCTCCCCCCTCTCACTCAGTTCTGACTTCATGTCATCCTTCTCCTTTTAGCTATGTAGGCAAGTGCTTCTTGCACTGGATCTGTCCTTTCTTGGGAAGCACCCATAAAGGTCAACAGAAGCTAATACTGATCACTACTTACAGCACATCTTGGATTTGTTAAGTTTCGTATTCATTTAACTATTAAGTGACTACGGTGTGCTAGGTGCTATTTCGCGAACAAGTGGTGAACAAGTAGACATGGTGCTTACATTTGTGTGTGTGTATGTGTGCTTGTGTGTGTGTGTGTGTGTGTGTGTGTATGAGGGGTGGTACAATGCTTGACAAGTGAGTCAATACATTTAAAAAAAAGGATTTTCTGATAATGATAAATTTTCTGAAGAAAGTAAACCAGAGCAATGTGGCAGAGAATTATTGAATGTTTGTTTTACATTGGGTAGTCAAGTTCTTAATATTATGTGAAAAGACCCCCTCTCCAGAGGGAGGGAGGAAATAAAGAGAATCTGTTGGTTTTTTTTTTTAAAGATTTATTTTTATTTATTTATTTATATAAGCACTGGGTACAGTCAGAAGTGCAGGGGGGTGAGAGAATTCACCAGAGCCAGAACGGGGAACAGACCAGGCAGAAGGACCGAAGTACACTGCTGAGGGGAGCAGCAGGCGGCAGGAGAGGTCTGCGCGCCATGTGGGACCCTCCTCTGGTGGCCGGGGATCGAAATGGCGCTGCAGAGGCTGCCGGAAGCTTCGCAACCCAGCGCTCAACCACTGCGCCACCAGGGAGGCCCAAGAGAATCTGTTTTGATCCACTGGGTGGGATAAGTCAAAAGAATGAAAAGGAAGGGAACCTGGTTTGGTCATCTAATCCCATTTCACAGACAAATATCCATGGGGAAGACCTAACTCGTCTGCTCGAGGCCCTCTGACTGAAGAAGGGTAGTGTTAGGATTACCTGTCTAGTTAATTTTTGAACAAAAGCAGCAGGTCAAGGCTTATAAGATTGTCTGGGACATCTTGGACAAAGAACTTTACCTGGAGCTGGAAGTGAGGTCAAACTAAGTTCTCTTAAAGCTAAATGATGTGTGTGCAAAGGCACTGTGAACCTTTTGGAGACAGATGTTAATGTCAAATCAAAATTTTCACAATCACACCATCTCATTATTATAAAATGTCATTTTTTTAGACAATTAGGTCTTAAAATTCTGCTGACGACCACTTGGTTTTTCCTTCTTTTTTAAGAAGGAATGTGCCTAAATTTTCCCAGAAATATGGGCGTTCCCTTCACAGAAATAGATTGCTCAACCTTGCTCAGTAGCAGCCAATTCCAGGAATCATAAAAATCAGAGTAGGATTTTTTTTTTTTTATATATTACCAAAAATAATGCATGGAAATCCAAGGCACTGTATGATCATCTGTGCTTCATTATGGCAGAAGAGGATCCTAGAAGTTGCGACTGCTTGTTTGGTGTGACAGTCCCTTCAGAGTCCAACCAGATATATGGAGTGTACATTGAACTATAACTATGAATCCTGGCCTGGGCAAGTGTGGGGAGGTGCCACCACTGGTCAGTCTTAAAACCTGTATTCCATTTAGGGGACTGCAGTTTAAACTCTCTCTGATAAAACAGGATATGAACTACCTATATTAAAAGAGAGCTTCAAGAATGTGATCATTAATGCTTTTTTGTTTTCTTTTTAAAATTTCACGAAGTAGCAATACATATTTTCCATGTTTATTTATTTTCTTACATTTTTGTTAATTTTTTTGGTAAAGATTTATTAATTTATGCATATAATAACTGGGGTACAGGCCAGAAGTGCAGGGGGTGAGAGGATTCACCAGAGACACAGTGGGAAGCAGAACAGGCAAATGAACTGAAATACTGCTGAGGGGCACAATGGGTGAGATGGGAGAGGTCTGCTGTGCCAGGTGGGTATCTCCCTGGCTGGCCAGGGGTCGAACTTAAGCTGTGCTGCATTGACTGTGGGTAGCTTCACAGTGCTGCGACTTAACGCCTTGAGCCACCAGGGAGGCCCCCATTTTTGTTAATTTTTTGTTAGCATTTGATTTCTCCCTTCTGATGTAGTCCTTGTAGTTATTCCACCAGCACAGCACCCGTGATCCATCACCACAGTCCCTTGTGTATTATAACATCATGTAGGTTTCAGGTGTGTGTCACTGAGAATCAGCATGTGATAAAACTACATTAAGTTCACTGCTAAAAGTGCAATTTTGTCCTTACCGTGCATTGTCTCCCTTTTCCTGATTTATGTACTCTCTGTCTTCTTTCCCTTCCCACAAATTTGGCCTATAGTCTAACAGTTTGGTTTTGTTTTGGTTAGTTCATTTGTTTGCTTAACAACTCAAAAATGAAGAAAAGGAAGAAGGGAATGAAAGTTGAAGGATGAAGAGAGAGGGGAAGGAAGGAAAAAAAATTATCCTTACTTAATAAACTCCCCAAACACTAATTTTCATGACCGTCTTGGTATTATTTTGTAAAGCAATTGAATCTATTATTTTTGAAAATTTCCTCCCAACTGTAAAAATATGAACAGGCAGAATTTATCTCAGTGTTTGTTCCAACATCAGGATTAATTATTTTTCTTTTGTTTTATTGTAGATACTCCTCCTTCTATCAGCATTCACTTCAGGGAGATCTCACTCCTACTACAGGACTTCTTTGGGCTTCTGGTGGAGTAGACATTAAATATAATTAAAGTGCAAGAAAATTCACAAGTGTTATAACCTGGAGAAGGTTTGAGAAGCACAGAAGAGCTTAGTGAGTAAGTGAAAAAAATAGCTACAATGCATGTAAGAGATCAAAGAACCTGACTTCTCCCTAAAACATCCAAATTTATAAAACTGTCATTGGAAGTTCTAATGGCACTGTTGAATGTGAGGATCGAAGAGCTCAGAAGGACTTTAGAACAACATGTCTTGCACTAGACACCTGGTAGATTGGTTTATGTTCTATATTGAAGAAACTAGAGCTTAATGTTTTCCTGTCTAGTCAATTCTTTCCTTTCTTCCTCTTGTACAGAGCACCTCCAAGATGAGAGTCACTGTGCTAGCCACAACCCTATTGAAGACCAACCATAACATTATCTGGCAATTCAAGACCCTCAACTTGAAGTTCTTCAGCAGAAACTCTGAAAAGCTCTTACATCCAGAGGGCATGGCCTGAGGCTTCACAGAAAATCTGAACAGAGGAGGAACCATTCACGGAAGCTCTGCATTTTGCCTCGGGATAGGCTGGAGGATTAAACTGCATTAGAAGCTGCATGCCAGGGAAATGTGTTGGGTGAGTCTCATTCCTTGCTCATCTTCTACCTTTCAATCTCATTCATCCAGTCAAATGTGTGTTAGTACGAGGCAATTAAATGGCATGACCCTGCTCTTTAAATTTTTTGTTAAGTTATAGTATTTTTTTATTGAGTTAACATTGGTTTACAATATGGTGTATGACTCAATGGTATAGGTTCACAGCTCCTTAAATGAGTGTGACCATATCGTTCATGCTTACCAAAGTACTATAATGCTTCTCCCCTTCCTCCGCTCCACAGCCCCCTTCTGGGAGCCTCAATTCTACAGTCAGACTTTCACATAAGAGTGAAATTATTAGGCATTTGTCTTTTTCCTTTGGACTCCTTTTGATCAGCATAATCCCCTCCCATTTCCATCCATGTCATCACAGCTGCCATTGTTCATCTTTTAAAAAATAGCTAAGTAGTATTCCACTGTGTATATATACCATATTTTGGCACTTAGGTTGTTTCTAACTCTTGGTTATTATAAATATAGCCACAAGGAACATAGGAGTGCACATATTCCTTTGAGTTAGTGTTTTTGCATTCTTCTGACCTTGCAGTTTAGAAGTGTAAAGTAACTATAATTTAAGATAGACAGGGCCATTTGAAAAAATACAATTAGGAATGTTGTAACATGATTTTCTCATCTGCTGAGAAAAGGGACATTTCAGAGAGGACTCTCTTGAATTTATTTAACTGGAACCACCATATCTCAGATTAACAGAAAATTTAGGACCTGAACATTAACCCCTTATATACCACTAATTTATTTTACAATTTGTCTTATAAGTTAGGTTCTTTGCCTGCAGTAGAACCAGTTGTTCAAAATCCTTTCTGCTCAGAACCACTGTAGTAGATAAAGGGCTCTTCAGGAATCTTCGGAAGCGCTAATTCAGATTTCTCTGTCTTACAGTAAGTAAAATGACTCTAGTGATCCCAGCTTGGCCATATATTCAAGGCATGTCTGATTCCACTGCTTGTGCAACTCTCTTTTATGGGAGGAAAAGGAAAAGCAAACCCAAGTTCTCATAGATTATTAGAGACAAGATTTGAAAAAAATTAGGTCAGAAGACCCATTATAAGATGCCTTACATTAGACTAAGTGATTTGCTTATCTAGGCATTCATATGAAAGTAAGGATTTACTGACAAAACTACAAGTACCTAAGTTCAATAGATTATTTGCAGATCTATTTTAGACAGATGGTTGGAGAAAATGTCTTGGACCTACATATCACACTTGTTTCCTCTTACTGTAAACGAGTTAGGATTAGTCATCTTACTGAAGGAACAAGAATGTGGTCATTTCCCATTGTTTCAGTTCAAAAGTTCCTAAAGTCTTTTCCTCCAAGGAGCCACAGTGCTGTTCATGGAAGACTCAACACTAAGCGACTGAGCTCTGCTTTGGGAAATCAAAATGTGTTGGTCCTGATTTTTGTTCTTCATTATATTTATGTCTAAAGACTCTTTAGTTACTTTTAACATTTTCTAACTTACCTACAACCATATTTTGATGGTCAATTCAGTAGCAACTGATTTGGAATAAAGCTGCTTGTATGCAATGTCATAGTGTACAAATTTTTCTATTTTAAAATGACTAAGAGGGAAATTATAGGCTGGAAAGAATGGAAATGTTAGATGCTGAGGACCTTAAAATACTTCTTAGCTCCAAGGTCTAGGATTGTACATAATGCTTAGAATTAATTCTTATTCATGCTCTCGCCACTCCAAGCCTGATTCTCTTTTTGGAAAGATTTTTAGAAAATAAGAGTTGACTCTCTCAATGTCTGTCACCATTTTATCTGCATTTTTTCACAAGCATTTTAGCTATCATGTGAGTCATTTCTTTCACACCTCCCACAAATAGCGTGGGTTAAATAGAGCCACGGGAATTTTTTTTTAAAGTAAAAATTTTGACTTTGGAATCTAAAAAGGCAGCTTACATTGAAAACACATCCAGAGGGACAGCGAATGACTACCAAAGCCACTGTCTGAATATCCCACAAGGCCTGTGCCTAGTGATTCCTGTTTCAGTGTATTACACTTGTCCAGACTCCTTGATCTTTTCATGTTTTGGAGGTAGTGCTAAATCAGCATGTTGAGGGACTGACCTCATTTCATCATATGCTGAATCACTGTCCTACAACTGTTGTCCCCAAGACATGGAACTGTCATAGTAATGTGTGCCAATGAAAATCCTTGCAGGCTGGTGAGATATATTTTTACTGCTGTTTCCCATTTAGGTTATATCTCCCCCTCCCTTCTCTCCCCCTATCTCTTTCTTGCTTTCCTGCTACACAATCAAATGCTTTCAAAATTCTGCAAAAGAGCTTTCATTTTAAGGTTCTGATGTCAGCAGTTGCCTTGCTACATCCCCAGTGTTTCTACTGTCCTCTAGTGGCTATTTTGAATGATACTATTTTTCAGAAAGAGAATTTATCTTTTTGCTTTTCTCCTGGGTCTCAAATCAAAACCTGGGTACTGAAAGTCCTCTTTTTAAGAATGTGATGCTTTTGGAAAGAACCAGAGAATAACAGTGAATTTTAATCTCTATTTGACCTCATCTTTGCAGTAGTTTGAAAACCCCAAACTTCTGAAGTATTAAGTAAATTAACCTAGCACTGTAGTCCCCATCCGGGAGTGCAACAGTTTTAGAACACCCCCTTTTTTGAAGAACAAACTGCTTTTGTTTGCACCACACTGCTTTGGGAATCCTATCCAAGCTCTTCATACTTTGAATGCTTTCTACTGCCACTCTAATTATCAACCAGGATACTTATTTGTAATCACCAGCTTTCAATAATTTAAATAGGTAGTTGTTCAGTCAACTATTTTTATTCAAAATGTGACAAAAGCTAAAATTGCATGTTGAATTTTATCCAGATGCTGTCTTCTTTTAGGATATGCCAACTGATGCAGAGCAATTGTTCATTTTCCTTTAACATGTCAGGAGCACATCTTTACTTCATGAATCCAGCTAGTAATCTAAAGTGAAGTCTACAATTTATGTATCACTTCATTGCTTACCAGGGCCAGCAGGCTGGACTGTGTGAGATTTAATTCAGTGTGCTGAATCATCAAACATCACCACACCCAAACTGTATTCTTCAGAGACATTAGAGATGAGCTGTTCATTGTCTACTTAATTGCAACAAGGATCATTTGGGGATGAGCATTTTTCACCAATAATAATTAACACCACTTTGGATAGAATTGTTAACATGCTTGTCACTACATAAGACAGTGATATGTAAGAGTCTTGAAAGTCTTTTATATAATTGTTCCCTCATACTTCTGTATACTGAGTGTACCAGTTTTCTTCGCCGCAAAAATAACTGAATCAGACAAATTCAGGTTACTTAAGAACAAATCTCGGGCCTCCCCTGTGGCGCAGCGGTTGAGCGCTGGGTTGCGAAGCTGCCCGCGGCCTCTGCGGCGCCGGTTCGATCCCCGGCTGCTCCCCGGCCACCAGAGGAGTGTCCCACATGGCGCGCAGACCTCTCCTGCCGCCCGCTGCTCCCCTCAGCAGTGTACTTCGGTCCTTCTGCCTGCTCTGCTCCCCGCTCTGGCTCTGGTGAATTCTCTCACCCTCCCGCGCTTCTGACTGTACCCAGTGCATGTATAAACAAACAAACAAACAAATAAATAAATAAATAAAACATGCCTCTATTAAAAAAAAAAAAAAAAAAAAAAAGAACAAATCTCTGTTTCCCCTTCCCTCTTTAGTCCTTCCAGGCTGCAAAATTTCACCCTTAAATGTTTCAAAGTCACAAAATTGAGAGGCTAGTTTAAAGGGTTTTCCGTTTTGGGAAATTTGTTAGGTTTTGCCAAATTCCTGAGATAGCATTGAAAATTTTCAGGGAAAGCTTTTGTTATTCTTTGTCTGGGTCTTTGTTCAGAAAATGCCTGGGAGCAGTTAACTGCTATTAGCAAACGCAAATACAAACAGTTGCTTCACTATAGCTTAGCAGTCCTTTTGCCAGTTCCCAATAGACGCCCCTCTCCTGTTTCTCCCGGTGATTTTTCCAAGTCCTCACTTCTTTCTTCAATCCCCTTCACTACTCATCTACATGCACTATCATTGATTATCATGGCTCTTTCCCTGCAGAGGAAGTAGACTCTATTTACAATTAACTCCATTTGGTTCCTTGCACTCAATAAATGTACATACTTCTGCATTCTCAGGAGGGTGGGTATGGGGAGCAAGAGGATGCTTCTGATTGTCCAAGATCAATCCTCCCATCTCCTGCCCATTTCTCAGAGCCATTGTTCTGTCATTGTCTCTTCTTTTTCATGTATCTTCAGTCTCCCACTAGTCACTGAATCAATTCCTTCAGCATATAAACCTGACACACTTTCTCCCAGAATATTCATTTAGGGTCCATGAGAATCCAAGTGATGGCTCCCAGCTGCCTCCTGAACACAGAAGTCACAGGTGGCTCCTTTGACAGAAGCTGTCCTGTTTTCAGTTCTGAGACTCTGCAACCTTGGCCTCAGGGATTTGGAATTTGGCAAAGGCTGTAGCCAAAGGCAGCAGATGCAAATGTGGTAGCCAAAGGGGCTCAGATGTGAGAACCAAAGCTATATGGTGTCTGAGTTCTATTTAGTTTCATGTTCGCAAGCAATAGAAAATGATTTGGCTAATTCTCCTCAACAGGAAATTTGCTGCTAGGATGTCTATCTCTCAAACACAGGGACCTGACTTATAAAAGGCAGAAACCAATGTGTTCTGAGGAGCTCTGCAGTGAGAAGCAGAACAACAATTTTGTAAGAAAGACAATGGTTTCTGCCAGCTGCTTCCACTGCTGTGCCTTCTATAGGGGTGAGCTGTAGTTGTCCCTACAGTTGCCTGACTCACCTAGGCCAAGTGACTTCCTTACTCTGTAGGCAGGCTGGGCAATAAGTGAGAGCATTATTAGATCATTGCCTACTGTGTGGGTGGTGGGTTCCATGCCTACATCTATATTCAGGGGGGTATTCCTCTAGAAGGAGAT